TTTGATTTAGATGGGAAACTAGGAGAGGGTGTTAGCCGAGGAAAGACATGATCTGGTTTGCATTTTTAAGAGATACTCTGAGTGAACTGTGCATGGGGTGCAAGACTGGAAGCAGGGAGACCAGTTAGGAGGCCATTGCAGTGGTCTATGAGAGAGTTGGTGACTAGGCGGTGACAATGGAGGTGAGAGAAATGGTCAGATTCTAGAGTATTTTGACCAATTTCTGTTCATGTATTTTCTCCCCAACCAACCCAGGAGCTTCTTGAGCTTCTTCATGTCTGAGTGAGCTTTGGATTCCCATCCTACACCCCTAAGCAGTTAGTTTCTCTGCGATCTGCCACAGTGAATGTGACAGGAGGTAATGGCAGTTGGATAGAAACTTGGGCATGGCGCAGAAGTTCTGAGACTTCCTTCTAGTTGCTCTAATGGGCTTCTCCATCTCCTTTTTTCCTTCTTCACCCTTTAGTGTCACCTAAAAGAATTTAAGTATGTTTTGGAGGGAAGAAAACACAGGAGTTATGGAGTTGCTCCTCTGTGCTAGCAACTGGGCTCCATGTCTTCATGTAGATTACTTCATTTGGGTTAATTTATTTCATATTTATAAAAACATCTAATCCTATCCCTTCATTTTAGAGATAGGCAGATTAAGAACCCCAAAAGGAAAAGGGACTTTATGAAGTTGGGTAGAAAGGTGAGGTTGTCATAGCATAAAGCAGTCACTATTTTGAGTCCCTCATAGACCCCTCTTCCCATTTAACACCCAAATACTGTTTGTCTACACCCATTTTGCTAAAGTCTTTTTCAGTCTCTTGTTAATTGTTAGCATTACATAATGCCAATAAATCTCTGGGTGAAACTGCAGGTCTTGAAAAGGATTCAAGGTTTCATGAAGTCAATGAAAGTGATGTTGGAGACCCTCTCTAATGTCATGTAAAGTCTTTGATAAATGGGAATTTGGCAGAGATAGACCAGTTACCCCTGGCAGAAGAGAAAATTGACCTGGGTAATGACAGGATCAAGGCTTCAAAGAGAATGATTCAACTCTCAAAGGATTACAAGAGGTCCTTGGGATAATTGAAGAAGCTCTCTAATTTTGGAAAAACAAAACAAAATCTCTGCTTATGACTGTGCTGCAAAGTCAATATTACCCTCTCATGTACTTTGGTCAGGAAAATTACATTATCCCCCAGTGCTTGACTCATTCTTTGTTCATTGTAAGAATTAGTGCATATTTGCAATTATTTATACATTTATACATTTTGTACATTTTAAATGGAAACTCAAATATTTTCCATGTTTCCAATTTTATTTCTCAAGATGAAGTCCTAACCAAATCCTTTTTCCCTTTTCTTCTGCTCTACTGTGAAATGTTGGTCCCCATTTCAAGTGGATTCATTGTAAGTGGCCTTTTTCTAGCACCACTTATCTTCAAATAACAAGGACTTCATGTAGCCAAAGCCTTCTCTTCACCCAGTGATTGTAAAGCCTGGCTGCACATTAGAATCACTTGTGGAGTTTTCTAAACAATGCTGAAGCTGGGACTCCCACCCCGGACTAATTAAATCAGACTCTCTGCTGGTAAGGCCAGAACTAAAACTCTCCAGGTGATTCTGATGTGCTGCCAGGGCTGTGAGCCACTGCCATGTTTCCTCCTCGCCCATGCTGAGGCTGCAAGAGACAGACTGTCTGCAGTTGGACTGACCTGAAGAGAGTGCCAGGGCCTGGGCCTGGGCCTGGGCGAGGGAGGGAGCGCTTAGAGAGGCAGCTGCAGGGTGATGGTAGCTTAGTCCAGGAGTGAAGTTGTGACATATGGCTTGTAGAGCTACTTCCTTGGCACAGCTATTGCGCCCTTTAGTCCCTTAGTACTGTGGGTGTATTGCTCCCTCTGCTTTTGTATGTAGTAGGTTAGTGTGGGACCTGCAATCCCTCATCTCTCTTTCCTATGCACAAGGCCAAGAGAACCTGGCTCCCTCCTCTTGGGTATGCAGTGAGACAAAAACTCTAATGTTGTGGTGGGTGGTATTATGGTTGTCCAATGCATAAAGTCATGTTATTGTGTGGATTTATAATGTGTCTGTTTCCTGCTGTTTTGCCAGCACCCAGTGCAGTGTTTGATATATAGTAATTGCTCAGTAGGTACATTTTGAATGAATAAGTTGAACACAGGCAGGATGTAATCAGTACCACGATTAAGGGACAAAGTGTTATTGAAGTACAGAGGAGGAAGAGATTTTTTCCAGCTTGAGAGAGGGGGGAATGTGTAAGTCTTCATAGCAGAGGTGGCATTTGAGCTGGACTTTGAAAACTAGGAAAGTCAGTGATAGGCAGAGATGGAAAGAGGGCATTCCAGGCAGAAGAGACAATGCGAGCCAAGGGTGGGAGATGAGACTGTGCAGAGCTCATTCAGAGGCTAACCAGTAGGGCAGTGGGGAGTGGATGTGAGTATATGAGCACCTATGGGGGAAGATCAGACTAGTAGGATATGATCAAAAAACAAAGATCCTTGAATGAGATACTCAGAAGTTTACACTTGATTCTACAGACAATGTGGAGCCATCTGATGTTTTTGATGTTTTCCAGGGGTGTAATGTTTGCTTTAGGAAGATTAGCTCTGTCCTCTAGGTAACTCAACTATGGCAGCAATTGTTTCACAAAATCTCTAGCAAGTGCCTCTGAAGCATGTGGGACTGTGCTAGGTAGAGGATGGATCAGAGATGGAGTGACTGGACAAGAGATTGGTTGATAGGCTATTGCAGTAGTCCAGGCAAAAGCTACTGAAGGCCTGAAACAGCTTAGTAGGAGTCAGGGCGGAAAGTATGGGGAGGATTTGAACATCTTACAAAAGAAGAATGATGGAACTTGGTGACTGTCTTAGGTGGGGGTGAAAGAAAGAGAAGAAAGACTGAGTGACTAATGATAATAACAATCAGCATGTGAGTGGCTCCTTTGTGCCAGCTGTTTTGCCAAGTGCTTCATGTACTACACCATCTAATTCTCACAGTAACCCTTGTGATAGATGAGGACACCAAGGTTCAAGGAAGTAAAGGAACTCTTGTCTGAACTCATACAAGTAGGAGATGATGATGACAGCAGTGGCCCATCTAGAGTGGCCACTGCCAAGATGTCGGCTGCAGCAGGAAGGTGTGGTCCAGGCCTCCCACTCCACAGAGCAGGCAGGAGCCCTATCCCCTAGGCCTGGGCATCCCACTTTACAAAGCAGGCAGGAGACCCACCCTCCCAGGTGGGGCTGCAGCTGCCCAAGTCATGCCTGCAGATCTGAGCATCCCTGTGCTCTTGAGGGGCTGAGAGCAGGCAGGAGCCCTGCCCTCCTGGGCACAGCTACCGCTGCCCAAACCATGGTTGCAGACCTGGGCCTCCTGCTCCATGGAGCAGGCAGGAGCCCTGCTCCCCCAGGCACAGCGCAGCTGCCCAACCATGGCTGCAGACTCGGGCATCTCGGCACTTTTAGGGGCCCAGGAAGGCTCCCCTACCCTCGCAGGCTCAGAAGTGCCTGCTCCCACTGCCTGACTTCTCCCTGCTGCCGGTGCCCCCTCTGATCTTGGAGCAAAGTCAGGTCAAGCCCGGACACCATGAGCAGCAGTAGAAGGCAGATAGGTTCCTCGGTGAAAGGGGGTGGGTCCCTGGTGAGGCCCCACCTTCAGGCCAGGGAGGGTCTGAAGGCTGGGGGCCAGGCTGCCAGTCCCACAGACTGGAGTAGGAACTTGTGGTGCCTTTTCTGGGCCTGCCCATGGCTGCCCGTGGGCCAATCGGTGCACACTTCCTCCCCTCTGAGGCCCATAAAAGCCCTGGGCTCAGCCAGAGCTGAGCAGATGACAGGATGACCAGATGCAGTGAGGAGCTATCCGCTCTGCTGAGAGCTTCAGAGACCTGCAGAGATGTCAGGACTACCAGCTGCAGAGAGGAGCTACCCTCTCCAGGGCCTCCTCTCTGCTGAGAGCTGCAGAGATGACAGGATGACCTGCCTGCAGAGGAGCTACCCATTGTGGGTCCCCTCTGAGCTGTTCTAACACTCAGTAAAGCTCCTCTTTGTCTTGCTCACCCTCCACTTGTCTGCATACTTCATTCTTCCTGGATGCAGGACAAGAACTTGGGCAAAGGTGTCACTGACCACAGAGGTTTTCGGCCAGAAAAGTGACACCCCAAAGATCCTGTAACAATGGCACTGGCTAGACTTGGAACTCATATGGTCTGGCTCCAGAGACCATGCTCTGACCTCCATGTTATGCTGCTTTTGGGGAAGTGGAGTGGGCTCATGTTTTCTTGGCAAAGTAATTTGGCAGCTCAGTCAGGACACCAGCCTCTCTCCTGACCATGCTCTCCTTTCCTCATTTATGTGAAAAGCAGTGTTAGTGATGGAGAGCCCTGTCTGCCACCCCTCAAGCAGTTGTCCCCAAGTGACCTTCCTCCTGTGATGGGAAGATGGGTCTGGTGAAGAGGTGTAGGAGAGATGAGGCTGGCAGACTAGAACCAAAGGCTGCAACAAAAGCAAGAACTGGCAATCCCCAGGCCACATACAGCCTGCAGACTTGTTTAGCCCTCATGGAGATAGGTTTGTTGGTTTTTATACTTGAGCCAACATTTATGAATTAGGGGGCTTCATGTTAGAATCCCAAGTCCTAACTTCCCTTGAAGAATGAGGAGATTGGCAACACTGGACCTACATTCCCCAAGACAACCCTGGGCTTCAGCTGCCTCCTTTGCACATGTCCTGCAGTTCTCAGCACTCAAATTGGAGTCTGCACTTTTCCCCAACCCGGCCTACTTCACTCCATACAGTGATCTGCCTGATCCCTGCAGGTGGCTGGCTTTGTGAGTCCTTGTCTAGAATGGTCTACTACAGTTTACCCTTTCTTCCTGAGATTTGAGCTGACAAAGAGCTGGGCACAGGGTCAACATCTCTGGTCCCACCCCCTCCCCAAGCCACAGCCTTTCCTAATGCAACAAGCTCAACTCCACAGAACAAATCCATGAAGGGAGGGTTATCATCAAGTCTTACCATTTATTTCTTTATGGGGTTAAACAAGAGCAGAGAGGCCTCTGCTCCACAATGCAACAAAACAGAAAGCAGTACACATACAGAGACTCTCACCGAAACACAGAGGCAGGGTAAGAGGGAGGGCAGAGACAACTGAATCATAGCTGGGTAAGGGAGGAAGGGATGGGGGACTACTAGGAAACCAGTTTGGAGACTCAGTCATAAGAACTAGTGCAAGAAAGTCCTACTCATGAAGCACAGTGTAGAAAATGGCATAAGAAAGCTGCCCGGCTCTGCTGCCTGTGATGGAGGGCAGGGGCAGCCGGAGAGGTGGTGGAAGATTAGGGTGGTGGGGTGGATGGGGGCAGTCAAATGACTTTGAGGTGGAGTGAGGTGCCCCTTTCCCCTGCCACTGGGCAAGGCCTTGGGCTGGTCTGAGCCAGGGGTCTCCTGGGCACTTGGTGAAGTGGAAGAGAGGATGGGAGTCTCCAAGGGTCCATTCCCTGGGGCCATATGGTTCCCCTTTACTTCCCAGTTCCTTTTCCCCTGCTGAGGATGCAGGAGTTAGAAGGCAGTACCTAGGGTCTCTCTGGAGCCCAAGCAGCTGCCCCTTTACTTATACATAAGCATGTCTGGAAAGGAGCCAGCACCTCTTCCCCTCCCCAGCTGGAAAGATCACTAGGGATGGGGTATGTGACCAGGCCCGAAGTGCTGAGGGCCAAACAGGGGAGTGTGTGGGCAGGGCACAGGGGTAGGGCTGGGGGATAGGCTGTAAGAAATGAGAAAACTGGCAGGGAAGGACTCCCCAGTCTCATGTAATCAGTCTGGGACCCAGCTGAGGCCCATGAATGATTCCTTCTCCACTCATCCCTAAGCTGACCAAGGTCAGCTCTCCCTTCCCCATCCGCTTCTTGGTTTCACTCTCACGAAGCTCCAGGCCCACCCTTCCATTCACTCATTAGCATCGCATCCCAGGACACAGGCCCTGCTGGCACTAAAGGCTCCCTGGCCTGTCCCAGGAATACAGCTCTGGCTCCCTTTCCTGTCCATTCTCATCAGCATTCAGATGTCCCAGGCAATGTGGGATGCCCTCTACTCCCCACCCCCACACAGCAGACCAGAGCAAGGCTAATGGCCCCCAAGGGGGCTCTCAATGCCTCTTCTCTTGTCCAGCCCTCTAGCCTGACTCAACAGTTTCTCAGCCAAGAGATGACAGCACATTATCTTTAGTCAAAGGGTCTTCTTGGCAGTCCCTGGACTTTCTCTTGCAAGGGGCCGGGGTGACTGGAGCAGAGGACCCTGCTACAGGGTGAAGAGGAGTCTGGGTGTTTCACAATTGGGACGGTAACCCATGGAGTCAGGGATGGAAAGGTGTGAATACTCTTTGGTAGGCTGGGGACAGGGACAGGGTAGGGATAGGGGAGGCTCATCTCTGGAGAGCTCTGGGGCAATGCCACCAGGTTCTCCTTCATGGAGGCCTGGGCTGGGACAAGATGGGGGAGTATGAGGACCCGGGCCAGGCCTGACCCACTTGGGCTTAAGTCCCTCCTCCCCATGGAGATCGGAAATGGAAATATCTTTGACCCCAAGGCCAAGATCTCCAGGGCAAGAGTGGCCCTTGGGAGTATGTGCACCTTCTGTAAGATATGGTCCTTCAGACAGCGGCAGTCTAACCATGTGCCTGCAGCCTTTTGTTTTGAGGCCTAGCAACTCAGTTCCTGTGCTCTTTCCCCAGAGGGCTCCTCATGCAACTCACTGATTTGGGGAGCAGTTCTCGAGCCTACCTCAACACTTATCAACTGTCTTCCCAAAGCCGGGTGGCAGTAGCCTATTCGGCCATCTCTTCAAGCCCTCCGTCCACATTTCTCCTCTCCTCTCCCCGTTCTCTATCTTCACTCTCTTTCACCATTCATTCTGTACCCCTTTCCTGCCCCTCATTGCCTAGGGTGGTGGGGCACAGCTTAACTGGGGCCCCGACCTAGCTGCAACTGTGTGCACCTCATCTCCCAGCCTGGTGCTTCACGTGTGATGGTCCCAGGTGGGGCAAGGTGTGCTGAAGTGGCAGGAGGGCCATTGCACTGTCTGCCGTCGCCTGTAGGGATGTGGGCAGGAGGGAATTAAGGATCGTGGCAACAAAAGGAATGTGGAGTGGGGGGAAAGAGCTTCTCCCCTCTGTGCCCCCCAACATTCCCTGCAGGGCCAAGGCTGGGTGAGCAGCATCCTTCCCTGGGGTCAGGGCTTTTGGCAGGGGTGGGCATATCCAGTCCCCACTTCCTCCCTTTTTTCGCTAAGCCCCATAGATGGGGGCTTGGGAGGGGTCACCTGCTGCTCCTGCCTTTTTCTCCCGGATGAATTTTGCAGCTCCCTGGGGCCCTCTGGCCATTCTGTTGGAGCTGATTTTGGGGTGGGGGTAGGTTGGGGGGGATGTGTCGTTCCCCCATTTCCCCCCGCCCCCACCTTATCCTATACCTCCCATGGGAGGAACCCCTCCCCCCCACCTGGGGGAGCTGGAGCTGATGTCTGTGTGTGGTGGAGGTCTGTCCTCCCTCCGTACTGTCACTCTTCCCGTGTCAGGCCCTCCTCTAGGGCAGGCAGTGTCTCCAGCCCCAATCCCCCACCACCCTGGTTGCTGGAGAAGGACACCACGGTATGGAGGAGCATGAGAACAAGGACGCAGAGCCGGATCCTGCTAGGGCTGAGGCGGGAGCCCCCAGAGACCGGCAGCAGGGCGGGCTTGTTGCTGACGCGGCGGGGGTGTTCATGACGGGGGTGGTAGTGATGGTACTGTTGGTGGTAGTGGTGGAAATAGGAGTGGTGGAATTGCTGGTGGTGGGTTTTGGGGGCCTCAGACTCCTTGAACTTCTTCTTCTTCGCCTCACAGGAGACCCACTGCACGTCACAGCACTTGGTTTCCGGACGCTTTGGTGAAGTATCCAGCAACCCTGCCAATGGATAAGGAAGGTGTGGTGGGGTGCTCGGGGAGCTGATAGCTATGCCTTACCTAGGGAGCAAGTTTCCAGAGCTGGGGCTGCTCAAGTAGCCTCATCTAAGGCTCCTTCCCCCCAGCCCTTGGCACTTGCCCTTTCTGAGTCCTTCTTTCCTGGGGACCCCAGCCAGTTTCTTCGGGATGACTACCTGGGAGTGTCCTGGGCAGAGAAAGACACTCTGGTCTTTTTCCCTATTCCAGTTGGCCCTATCCCCACCTGGGGACCTCACTGCCCATTCGTCCAGCCACTGGCCTTCTTCTCACCTGACTCCCCGGTTGTTCTCCCTGCTCCCAGCTCCTCTGACCTGATGCCTGTCCTGGGCCCCCAGCCTCCTCCCTCTTCCCCAGTGCCCTGCCTTTACCTGTACAGATAAAGCCAGGGAGCCCTCCGTACACCATTTCCTCATTGTCGGGGAGTATAAAGGGGCACCGGGTCTGCACCTCCAGGCAGTATTGCTTGCAGGGCACCCAGCGCTGGCATTCCTGCTGGGTCACGCTGAAGTATTCTGAGCACAGCCAGGCCTTGTAGACAGCCTGTGGGGAGAGGAAAGAGCATCAGCCCATGTGCCAGCCCCTTCTCACCTCAGAGGAGAGGGATGGGGAGACTTACTTGTGGTCTCTCAAGGAGGCCTCACCAACCTAACCCCAAGATTCCAGTGGGTAGAGAGGAAGAAGGGCTTGGATCAAGGCCACTACATCTTACCTAAGATCTCCCATCTCATAGCCAGTGCTCCCAAGCACCCCAGTCTGCAGTCATCCAAGACTCAGCATTTGTGTGTTGGCGAAGATCACAAAATTACTGGAAGGTCAGCACTGGAAGGAGCCTTACCAATCATTCCGTGCAACCCTGTCATTTTACACTTGGTCCAAGGAAGTCTCTGACTTGTCTGAGACTACCTATATATAATGAGGCAAATGTCAGTTCTGTTCAATTCAGCAAACATTTCTTTGGCTGATGGTATTGAGTTTCTAAATTCAAGAAAGAATAATCCTTGCTCTACCTCATTAGAGTGTTATATGGATGAAATAATATGGCACATATGAAAATGTTTTGTAAACTGTAAAGTGTAACGCAAATGTGAGGGGTTATTTTTAATGAAAAAAAACCAAAAAACAAAAAAACAAAAAAAACCAGGAACCTGCCTTACCAGGCACCACATGTGCCTTTGAGCTCTACTTGATCCATGCTCTGCCCTATTGGCTTCTGCTCTGGCATGGAGCAGACATCACACACACTGCTATGTTTCATTTGGAACCTCTGCTTTGCAGTTTCACTTCGCGGGTATATGCTTCCTGTCCCTCATCTAGTCCACCCCTACCAGGCACTGGGTCCTAGCTAAGAAAGGTTCCCTGCTCCATACTCTTTGGTTATCATCAAGCCCAGGGTTTCTTAACAGTGATACTACTGACATTATGGGTCAGATAATTATTTGTTGTGATGGCTGTCCTGTACACTGCAGGATATTGCACAGCATCTCTGTCCTCTACCCATTACACAGTAGTAGCATTCTCTCCCCTCACCTATTGTGAAAACCAAAAAAGAAAAAAAAATGTCTCCAGCCATTGTCAAATGTTCCCCTGGGGTGGGGGCATTGTCTCCAGTTGTGAACCACTGATCTAGGTCCTTGCTCCTCAAAGTGTGGACCTGGACCAGCAGCATCACCATCACCATCACCTAGGAGCTTGTGAGAGATGCAGGATCTCAGACTCCACCCCCGATCTGCCAAGTCAGCATGTGCATTTTAACAGATGCCCAGATGGCTCTCATGCACCTGGCCTGTTTCTGTCTCGCCACCCACATCCAGTCCTGTATCTTTAGGGGCGCTTTCTAGGTTCATTGTTGTTCCTCACAGCAATGGTTCTCAGACTTCAGTGTGCCTCAGAACCCCCTGAAGCATTTGTTAAATATGCAGACGTCTCCCTCTGTTTCAGCTTCAAGAGGATGAAGGTGGGCTCAGAATCTGCATTTCTGAGCCAGGTCCGGGTCACTGTGCTGCAGGAGGCTCTTCTATCATATTCTGAGCAACATGGTTTCAGAAGCACTGTCAGTTTCTTATACTTACTTTAAACATTTTCACTAAACTACAAATAACTGCTGTGAACATGGACTTTGGCAATGCAATCCCACACTGGCCTTTTCCAAAGCAGGGGGGTACTAGTGGGTGATGGGGTAGGTTGTGTTGCTAACCAATCCCCCAAAGAGCAAAGCATTGCTTGGGACTTTGGTATTTCACAGGCATCTCAAATTTAACATGTTATAAAATTTAAAATGTAGATCTTATTTTTTTTAATCCCAAATCCACTGTCCTCCTCAAGTCTTGACCGTTTCAGTGAGTGCCATGAAACCTAGATGTCAGCCTTCATTTCTCTTTCTGTTTCCCCACATCTAGTCCATCAGCGAGGCATGCCAACTGTAGCTCCACATCCACGCCTTTGGGCAGACCATCATCATCCCTCACCTGGATGACAGTCTCCCATCTGGCCTCTCCACCTGCACCCTTGCTCTTTCCAATCCACTGTCTACACAGGAGGAACAGGGGTCTCAAAACGCAATTGACTCATGTTACTCCTTTGCTCTAAACCCTTCAATGCATTTAGAATTAAACTTCTGACCACAGATTTCTAGCCCTTGTATAACTTTGCTCCTGTCTTTCTCTCCAACTTCATTTTCTTTCTTTTCCTTGAACATGCCCTACTTGTTCCCACCTCAGGGCCTTGGCACATGCTGTTCTTTTGGCCTGGAATGCTCTTCCCCCTCCCTACTCTTGACATGTCTGGGTCATTTTCATTTTTCAAGTCTCAGTTTAAATGTCCTCTCCTCAGAGAGGGTCTCCCTTACCCCTCTCACCAAAGGATGCTACCCTCATTATTCTCTTTTCCTTGCTTCTTCACCACAAGTATTACTTTCTCTGCACTCTTGTTTGGTTCCTGTCAGCTCCACTAAAATGTGAGTTGCACGTAAGCAGACATGGGTTTGCTTTATTAACCATTGTGTACTCGGCACAATATACACTTTCAAAAATCTGTTGAATGAATGAACAGGACAACTAAATGAGGACATGTCCCTATGCTCATGAAAATTCCAGTTTCATGGGTAGACACATCTAACTTGAATCTATGGCATATGATCTATACTACAAGAGAGTTCAAACCACGGACCAATGGAGGGAAGCAAGTAGAGAAGCAGGGGAAGATTTCAGTGATGGGAAAACAGTTGAGCTTGGACTCAAATCAGGATTTTAGATGGGGTGGGTAGAGATGACATAAACAAGCATTCCAGGCTGAGACAACAGCTTAAGCAAAGATATGTCGGCAAACAAATTCATGGTGTGTTAAGAGAACAGAGAATGGTTTTATATGAATGGAATGAAAAGGGCATTGGTGATCTCTTGTTCATGGACATTTATTTCCACGTTTTCACTATTACGAACAACGCTCCAGTGATTATCTTTATACACACATCTCTCACACACTTGTGTTAAATTTTATTTATATAAATTCCTAAATATGAAATTATTGGGCTAAAAGAGTATATGAAAAGGAATGGGAAAGGAGTGAAAGGGCGGTAGAAAAACAGGTGGAAATAGGAGGCAGGGTAAGAGAGCTGGAGGGTTAAAAGAGGGCAGGAAGAGAGGGGCCTGAGGGGATTGAGAGAGTGGCAGATGGGGTAAGGGGTGGAAGACATGAGGTGTATGGGAAAGAGAGGGTAGGGAATGGTAGGAATAGTGGGGGTAGGAAACAACAGGGTTGGGAGAAACAGCCAGGGAATTAGAGGTGGAGGGTGTAAGGGAGGTGAAGAGTTAAGAGTGAGGTGAGGGTGAAATAAGTTGAAAGAGAGGGTGAGATAGGGGTAAGCGGGGCTGTTAAGAGAAAGCGGTAAGAAAGAGGGAGTAAGAAAGACGGGTAAGAACAAGCAGGGGGTGAATAAGATGGAATAAGAGTGGCTAAGAAAGATGGGAGCGTAAGAAAGCAAAGGTAAGAAAGAGGGATAAGAGAGCGCAAGAAGGGGAGGAGAAAGAAACAGAAGTAAGGCAGGAAAGAACATGAAATTACAAGAACCAAGGGTCCCAGTACCTTAGAGACTTCCCTCCATCTTTTGAGCCCCTGAGTGCCAAGATGAGTCTCTGTCCACAGGCTCTGCCCCAATATCTGTAGCCTGGACCCAGAGCCTGCCTGACCCTCACCCCAAAATGTGTGCAATCGGCCCCCTCCCAACCCTGCATCCATCAGTGCAACTCAGAGGTCCCTGTGGAATTCTTTCTGGGCTCTTCTAGTTCAATGCTCCAGCTCCTAGGTGAGAAGGCCCCAGTGGAGTTCCTGCCCTCCTCCCAGGCAACTGCAATTAACCCAGTAACAGGCTATGGTGGCTGGGCGCTCCTCTCATCTGCTCCTGGAGGGAGGAAGGGAGGGAGCCAGCCAAGGGTAGGTTGGGGAAGGGGGAGGGGTGGCCTGACATTGGGAGTGTGGCCTTTCTCCTTAATTAGATGACCTCCCCACTCAGTCCCCACACCCCCAGCCAGAGTCACCATGACAACAAGTGGGTGAGCAGATTGCTTGGGGAGGACACCAGGCCTGTGGGTGGCGAAGCAGGAACAGGCAAGGAGCTAATGAGGGGAATGGAGGAAGAAGAGTGACACGGGGCTCAGAGGTAATCCAATTCCTCAGCCCCACAGCTGGCCAGCAGAGGCCATCGCTATCCCTCATGCCTCAGAGGTAGGCTGGGGTCCTTCTCAGGTGAAAGATCTGGCTCTCAGTGTTTGTTACAGCTTGGGCAACAAGCCTGCCTTAGACTCTGCAGCTCTGTTTCTTAGATGGACCTAGGTAGCTTGCCCTGTCTCATTAGTGTTAGGACTGAGCCAGGGGTTGACAGGGGGAGGTTGTTTGGGCAGTCACAGCTTCCTGGGCACTTGTCTACAAGGATGGAGGAAAGCCAGGAGGGCCCGGCTTAGGAGAGTTGTGGGGCTTGCTGGAGGCAAGGGATGCAGGGAAAGAAATGTTTCAGAACAAGACAACAGTCAGTTTTGGGTGAACCACGGAGCTCTTTTGTTCTCCAGGATCTCAACTCTGGCTGCATATCACAATCACTCAGAGAGCTGCCAAAAAAATACTCCTGTCTTGGGCTGGGTGTGGTGGCTTATGCTGGTAATACCAGCAATTTGGGAGGCTGAAGCTGGCGGATCGCTTGAGTCCAGGAGTTCTAGACCAGCCTGGACAACATGGTGAAACCCTATCTCTGCAAAAAAACATAGCTGGGTGTGGTGGTGCACACCTTGGATCCCACCTACTTAGGATGCTGAGGTGGGAGGGTCACCTTTGCCCGGGAGGCGGAGATTGCAGTGAGCCGAGATGACACCATTGCACTCCAACCTGGGCAACAGAGTGAGACCCTGTCTAAAAAACCACACACACACACAAATACTCCTATCTGGCTCACATCACACCCAGACCAACTAAGTCAGAATCCTTGTGGGTGGAGCATACACATCTGTAGTTTTTCAAAATACCTCAGGCAATTTTAGTATGCAGCCACAGTT